GCGTGGAGGAGATCCCGCTGTGCTGGCCCGCAGGGAAACGAACCGGTCCTCCCATCCAACCATCCAGGCTGCTCGGCTGGCTGCCACGCCAAGTGTGCACTTAAATATTCCAGCGTGTGGCCTCCAGGGGAGCACAGGGCACCCCACTTCAAGGAGTGGCTGCTACTGAAGCCAGGGACCCAGACACTGGAGAACCCCCTTTGGAACTGTGAATCACGATCAGCTTTGAGGATTTTTTTTTCTTTTAATGAGAAAATCAGGAATCCACTTTACCCAGTTCTCCTTCTGAGAACTTCGGGGAGCAGCCTCTAGCCGATGAGCTGAATTTGCCGAGAATGCGGAAATGATGACATCAAGCAGCTCGAGTAACCACCTCCTTAAAGACCTCGCAGATTAGAGATGACTATAGATTTTCCCCAGCACTGATCAAAGGGACGGAATTGAACGTTTTAGCCTAATGATCCAGCCCTTGTCACACCCACAGGGACGGGACTCGACTGCATAAGCGGCGTGCGCAGGCTTGGCCCGCACACTCGGAGCTGCAGCCGCGTGGGCAGGAAAGAGCCGCAGCGGGGTGGACCCAGGCGGGCTCCATTGGTGCCATGACCCGGCCCGGCCCCCCTCTATCCTTGGCGGGGCCTCGAGCGCTCATAAACTCTGGAATAGCAGCCTTGGATTTCCGATTTCTCACTGCAACTTTTCACAAGCGCCTGGGGCTGTCAGGGCACCAGTGACAGGCAGTGGGCTCTGTCCAGGGTCCTGATAGTGTACCCTGCTCCACCCACCACGCAGGAGACAAAGGCTGCCTGGCTTGGCCCGGGCCTTGGCCTAGGCCGCCTCCCTCTTGCCTCGGGTCATTTTGCTGGGAGAGGAAACAAGAAAACAAAGGAACTGCTGATCCGCTGCGTCCCTCGGCCCCCATCTCTGAACTGTGACGGCTGGGTCACCTTCTCCTCACCGACCCGGCTTTTCTTAAATAAAACACACCAGCAAAAGCATCATTCAGATAAAAAAAAAAAAAAATCCAAGCGTGCACCTTGTTTGGGAGGCGAGGGTTGTGGAGTACTTTGAGGGGCACAAAAATGCGTCCATCAGACGGGTAACCCCAGGCCCTGTGAGGGACCTCGGGAGGAGTGCAGGACAGGCTTCTCCTCCTCCTCCTCCTCCTCCTCCGCACCGTCTCCCTGTCAAAACAGTGAGCAGTCGCGAATCACAGGACAATGACGTTCTCAAAACAAAGGTGCATCTAGTGTCCCCTTCCCTGGCCACTGCAGGATACGCTGGGAGCCCAGCCCCGCCAGCCCACACGGGGTGCGCACAGCCTCTACAGAGGGGCAGTCAGGGTTTGTGGGAGGGAGCCCCCAAACTGGGGGTGAGGGCACACCACTCACAGAGGCTCAAAGCTTGAGGACAGAGACACAGGCCGTGGGCTTAGGTGGCTTTGCTACCGAACAACACAACTGAGCTACTGCCGACCATCCCAGGGGATGGGCACACAGTGCAGCTCCGGCTACCAGCCCTCTCCGCACGCTTCGGAGGCGCTCCTGAGCGGCCGCTGGGCTCGTCTCCGGTGAGCACCCTCACTGCACGGACACCACGCTCACTGCACAATGGCCGCAGGCTCCTAGAGGCTCAAGCAGGTTTGGGCCGCTCAGTCTATCGCCTGCCCACCTACGTCACACCCCGTGCGCACCTTCTGTGCCCGCCCCACCCGGCCTGGGTTCCCCTGGGCACTGCACAAGGGGTGATGCTCCTCAGCCTCGAGGCCTGCTTGGACTGCCAGGCCCTGGCCACAGTCCCCACACGCGGGCTGGGGTGTGTGTGTGCCCGAGGGCCCTCAGGCCACTGCCCTGGGCAGGCGCAGGAACTCAGCCACCCCTGGCCTGGCCATGATGGGCGGAGGCAGGTTGAGGCCTCCACCAAGCTGCAGGCGACACGGTTGGTCGCGCCCCTCCAGCCCTTTGTTAGAGCAGCTGCAGAGCCCAGATGCGGCTCAGCCTCCCTTCCCACCCTGCACCTGGAGCCCCCAACTCCTGCGTCCCCACGCCCAGGCCTGGCTTCTCTCCAAGGGCTGGGTCCTCCTACTGTGCCCTGGCCTGGCTCCCGCAGCCCATCGAGGCCAGGGGACAGCTGAAATGTCCGGCCGGGGTAAATAATTAACAGAAAGCAAATGGACTTGTGCGGAGCTGTTATCAATCAATCTCGCCACAAGGCCACTCGTGGCAAACACTGCCCAGGTTGGGTTGAGCCAGACTTTCTCATGGAGGTCTCCAGGGACTCCGCCCCCAGGCCTGCGAGGTCCTCCTCAGGGTCCTCCAGAGCAGATGCTGGGGACGTTTTGCCCAGTGCTGGGGGATTCTTTGCCTCCTCCCAGGCCTGCGGTGCTCTGCCCCTTCTTACGCCGGTCCGGAGCATCTTGTAAACAATCTGCCCGCTTTCCCATCCGCGCGGGTCTCCTCCCCACTCCGCCCCACAGCGGCGCGAGCCGGGTTTCGCTGTGCTTTATCGCCACGGCGGCAAGTCGTACACGGAGGGCACACACTGACGTTTTAAAGATGGTTAATTTGGTGAGACTTCCCTGCCCTCTCCCCTTTCTTCCACCTGCGAGGTCATTTGGCGACTGGAAGGAAGGCGCTTTCCAAACATCGCTGGAGCAGAGGGCTCCGGATCCCCAGGACCCAGAAGCTAGGAATCTGCGCCGAGGCCCGGCCTCCAGGGGTTGGGACGCGCGCTCCTGTGCGCGCAGCGGAGCGCCCGGCTCTGCGCATGAGAACGGGGGCGCCAGGGTCCCTCAGCGAGTCCAGCAGCCAGGGCACCGAGGTCCTGCTAGACACCATGAGAGTTTTTAGAAAGCGACCTCACTTGAAAGCAAGCAAGAAGGCAACAAGAGAAAAACGTTAGCAAGAGGGCTCCCTGTTACTTAGGGCCTTAAAACCAGACTGTGGCTTTCCTGGCAGCACCCCATTGTGCCCGGTTCTGACAGGACATCCCGGACCTGCCCTGGCAACGTCCTTCCCCTCCCTGTCACCCCGTAAGCTCATGAATGAGGTGACGCTGGCTCCAGGTTTTGGCACTCAGTCCCCGGGGGGGGGGTGTCCTACTTATGAGTCTCTTACTTTGCACTTTTTCCAATGCCTGGAGCCCGTGGCTGAGAGCAGTGCGCCTTGCCAGGCTGCTAGGTGTCTAGGCAGGCGCCCCTCCAGTGTCCTCCTGGGTCCCATGAGCACCGGCATCTAGCCCGCGACCCGGGGGGTGGGATCGGGCACCTGGGTGCCCCCCTCCCCAACGCCAGTCTGCTCTGCTCCCTGGAGGTCCGAGGGAGCCGCACTCGAGGGCGCCTCGGAAGGGAACTTGCCGTCTGTGCTTCCAGATGGCCGGAAGCAGTGCGTGTGCGGGCGCTGAAGTCTGGAGCGAGTGCCTTCCCGCTGGCCGCGGGGCTGGACTTTCCCGAGGGAGGGGCGCCGCTCTCCTTCACCTCCCTCCCATCCCCTGGCGGCCCGCCCTGTGCGGGGGCAAAGCACTGCCTACCAGCGGGCGCGAAGAGGCGGAACCTACCCCGCGCCGAAGTGCACTGCCGGCGGGCATAAGTCAGTGCGCCGCAGACAACGCGGGGCAGGTGCCGGCCAGGCGCGGCGAAGCGGACAGTGACCCGCGGCCCCGGGCGGGCGCCGCCTCCGCTAGTCAGTTGTGGGTCGTTCCCGCGGACCGAGCGGACTGGAACCCTGCAGCGCGGGGCTCACGCGGCTCAGTGCTGGGACCCCAGGGCTCCGGCGCCCGGGCTGGCGGCGGCCCGGGTGCTGCGTGCTGAGTGCCGGGCACGCGCCTGTCCCACGGTCTCACTGGCGCGCACACGGTGGGGGCGGGGGCCGCGCCTCCCGCTTTCATTTTAGACTGCGAAATGGCTCGGTGCCCCCAGTTCTGAGCGGATTGACCGTCTCGTTCTCCAGGGACGAATTAATGGAGAACGATCAGTTAATTAACAAACCCTCACTCAGGCTTTTACCTTTCCCTCCGCTAAGGCTGGGCCCGAGCGTGCGCCGAGACGGGGTTGCGGGCAAGGACTCAGGAGTCAAACCCGCTGCGCCCGCCGAGCAGCGCTCGGGCCTCCACCTCCCCGCCGGCCTTTCTCTCCGGCGGTCTCGGCACCCCCTGGGTTTCCAGCGCCACCGTTCTGGGCTTCGCTGTACCTTGGCCTACGGGCCCGTAGGCAGCCGGACGCTGCGGCTCCCTCTGAACCAGCCGGCTCACATGCCTGGCACGGGAGACCCCGCGGCAGCCTGGGGTCATTGGCATACTCCTACCCTCCCGCAGTGGCATTCGGAAGACAACGAAGAGAGGTGACCGCGGTCCCCGGGCTCCACTGGGAGGTCTCGTGTCGCTCAGCCCCTCTCCCAGGGGCCTCGGCACCGCGCCCCCCATCTCCTGTCCACGGCGGGCTCCGCGCGCGCAGTGCATTCCACAGAGGTCGCACCGCACACCCCGCCTCGCAGCTGGAACCGTAGGGCCTGTGCCCCTACGGCGCGGTTCCGCGCAGCCTGCCGGAGCCGAGGGACTGAGCGCAGAAGCCGCCGCGGAGCGGGTGCAGCCGAGCGCGGTGAGGCAGTCCGCGGGCTCCAGCCCAGCGCAGGGTGCGCACCTGGGCGCACGGCGAGCGCCAGCGTGCGGCGTCAGGTAGGCTTTCAGCGCCCGCTCCTCCCAAACCGCGGGTGCTCGACCCAGGGACCCCTGTACAGCCCGTGTCCCGCCAGGCTGGAGGAGGTCTCTCGGCCTCCGGCGGGGCGACCCTTCTGCGCCGTCCCTGAGCACAGATGTGCCCCGCAGCCGCCGAGGCCGCTCCGCTCGGCTCGGAGGCTCTATCACACTCCCGCGCGCGGAGCCCCAGGAGCGGCGTCTGCACCCGAGCCAAGTGCCAGCCCTCCCAAAGACCCTTCTGCAGGAAGAGTGGGGGCCCTTCCTCCAGTCCCCTCTGGCCCACACGCCCGGCTCCGCGGCCAGCTCACCTGCTAAGCGGAGCGCCGACATGCGCTGGAACTCGGGCTCCTGCAGCCACTTCCACATCCTCCGGAAGGTCTCCCGGCCGGACTTGAGCTTGCTCCAGGGTTTGGGGTTGCGCAGCAGGTCCGAGAGGGTCCCCTGGGAGCGGCAGAGCACCCTCTGAGCGAAGATGGCCTGGGGAATGCTGTAGCGTTTGAGCTCGGTGGTGATGCGCTGCGCCACCTCTTTGGTATTGATCTCTTCCATCTGCCCTGAATTACTTCCATTGCTGACTTGCGTGCCGGTCACCGAGGGGTTGGGCTCCCGGGCCGTGCCCAGGAGCTGTCCGTGGCCCTGGGCGTTCAGGTGGGCGTGGGGGTGGTGCGGAGGGAGGCCGTTGATGGGCACCATGCCGGCCGAGGTGGGCGTGAGGTGCTGCTCCCCGTGGCGGCCGAGCATGGCCGGGTGGTGGGCTTCGAAGCCGTTGGGGGTGAGCATCTTGTCGGCGGGCATGGCGGCGCCCGGGTGGGCGTAGTGGGGGAGCCCTTGCTGGGAGTTGTGGATGCCGCCCAGGCCGGAGCCGGAGAGGGGCGAGAGGCTCTGGCCCATGCCGGCCACGTCCTTGTGGTAGGGGGTGTAGAGGTTGTTCATGGAGGCCAGCCCGCGCTCGTCGCGCATGAGGGTGAAGCTGCCGCTCACGTTGCCCGCCAGGCGCTGGTGGTGGTGCGGGGGGTGGTGGTGGTGGTGATGGTGGTGGTGGTGATGGTGGGGGAACTTGTCCGACACGGTGGAGATGGGCGGCAGCGGCTGCAGCGGCGTGAGCGTGGTGTAGGTGGTGGGCATGCTCATACCTGGCGGAGTCTCGCAGGCCATGGTCATGGTGGGGTGCAGGGGCCCGGCCAGGCTGTGCTCGGGGCCGCGGGGGTGGTGGTGGTAGTCGCCGCCGCCGCCGCCGTCCAGCAGGGTGGCCATGCCCAGCGAGCGCGGGTGCGCGGGGGCCAGGTGGCCGCCGCGGTGCGCCACGGAGCCGCGCGCGTGGGGACTGCCGCCCAGCAGGTCAGCAGGGGCGGGCACCGGCTCGTGGCTCACCGCGTGCAGCTCGCCGATCGCCTCCATGGTCAGCTGCGCGTTCATGGTGATGCGGGCGAGAGCGCGGCGGACACCACATCGAGGTGGCGGGCGGAGCGGCGAGGGCGCGCGGGTCCGGGTCACATCGGCCGCCGGCGGTGCTGCCGCCGCTCGCGCTCCCGGTGGGCTCTGTCTTCTCCTGCGTGCGTGCTGTGCGTCCTGCCTCGCCTCTGCCCCCACCTTCCCCTGCGTCCTCGGCTGTTTTTAAATATTAATTTCCAGAAAGGCTGCGCGCCGTGGG